CACTAATTGTAAAACTACTCACGTTATATATATTCTTTGTTTTTCCTTTTGCGATGCCTTTTATGTGGGTTGCACTAAGCGGCGTCTACAAGATCGGGTAGCTGAACATCTCTATGCAGGCCGAAGGAATGATCTTGATTATGCTATAGTGAAACACTTTCCACAAGATGCATAAAGGCAGAGCTGTATCTTTAACAGCTATTAGCATCGATCACATCCCTTTAACAGTCTATAGAGGGGATAGAGAGAAAGTCCTCAACCAAAAGGAGAGTCGTTGGATCTCCACACTTGGGGCTTTTTGGTTTTGATGCCCTCACTGGGATTTGAACCCTGGTCTCCCGGTTGGGAAACCAAACCTTACCTACTGAGCTAGCATTATGCTCTGCCTTATAGTTGTTTTTTACTTATGTACTTTTTTATTTATCTGCCTTTTTGTTTTCTGTACTGCCATCTACTGGTTTTATTAATTTATTTTTGCTAATCCTTTCTAAAGGATTTATTCTATGAGATTTCCTGAGCTCTATTGGTGCCACAGGTGTGGCTGATCCAGTTAATGAGATCTTCACCTATGTATATATAAATGCCCTGTGACTTGTCTTACCCTATTTGCCCTGACGAAGGCTGACTGAGGCCGAAACATGTTGGTAATTTTTATCTGTTCTATCCACCTTATTTTCAAACACAGAAGTAAATAGTGATCAACTTCTGTGTTTTTGTGCGTGACTTCCGGTCAGCTGCTTTCCCTCCTGCTTTCCCTTACTGGAGCTAACGGTGCAAGCTAATTTTTTTCAATTTTCAATTGTTTATGTTAGTCAGTCAGTCAGTTAGTTAGTTAGTTAGTTAGTCTGTGTATTTTATATAGATAACTGTGCCCACGTTTCCGTTATCTGGTAATTGCCGGTAAAAATAATTCCCTCTAAACGTGAATAAATTGCACGTCAATCAAAAACTATGAACCAGAAAAGCACAATCTATCCCGAGTGAGACAAACTGCTTGATGCCTGTCTCCAGCGTACCAGCAGAGAACCTGCTTCTGCGAAAAAACACACTGGGCTACACAGCCTCTCTACCTGAGCAGCTGAAGCTGTGGCTCGCACCCTTGACACACAGACACACAGACGGTGCTTCTGCATGCCAGCCAAACGTGTGCTCAAATGTGATAAATAAATATGTGAGATGTACGCTGCTTTTCTATCTTTTTTTCCTTTTTTTCTTTCTTTCTTTCTTTCTTTCTTTCTTTCTTTCTGTCAGCGACATACACTCATAACACAGGACGGGTTGTTTTTATTGACTGAGTTGATTATTAAGCCATAGTGATGCGCGGATCGGCTCTGATAACATCCAGCTGTTACAACATGATTGAGCTAGCAAAGCAGTTTTGTGTTGCTATGTGTGGTGTTTATTCAGTTTTGGGAAATCACGATGTCTAGAAAGCATCAGCTGACAGGGACAGCTAACAGCAGCAGCAAAGCTAACTTCAGGACGTCATCTGTTAAAAGCCTCCCGTTGTCGGATACGACATGAAACTACTCCAGTTAGCTCAATCATGTTGTAACTAAGACATCCACTGGAAAAAATATTTTTTTCACAGGCCATTTAGTGAGTTATTACAGACACCGCTATCGGCTAACAGCTAAAGGCGTCCCTACGTCGCCCCGGTCAAAATGGTCGCGCAACGATTGCGTCACATCCAGATCCCGTAACTTTACAGGAACCCTCCTCGTACTCCGCTCTCTCAGTGGAGACACAGCGGTTGAGAGTGCCGAGCGAGAGGACGTTCCTGTAGTAGTTCCTGCCCCCCAAATAGTATCAGGAACTTCTTCAGTGGAAACGGGCCTATTCTTGTTTCTTTTCACTTACTGAGACTATGAACAAAACACGGAAACAACATCAAAGCTGATATTACACAAAATATATGATAGATTCGGTAAGAGAATGGTGGCAGCAGGTGAGAATGTGTTTTCAACGCATGGTGCATCCCCTGGCAGCGAGCACAGGAGCACAATGTCTTGTGGACGGTATAGTACCATTGTCATTTACATGAGTGAATACAGCATCTGCTCTCTGTCACAGCAGAGGTTACAATGTAAGATAACAGGAATGTCTGTAGTAATATCTTACATATTTTTGAATTCAGGTATATTTTATAAACCTTAAAATACAAGGTTATTGTCAACTGGCTGTTGGGACCTCTGTGCCACCCCACTGTCTTTACTAGGCAACAGGGACACAGAGCTTCAGAGAGGTGGGGATGAGAGCAGGTTGGCAGTTCCAATTAGGGTTGGGATCCAGATCTGGTTCTTTTTTGGAACCGGTTCCATCACATTTGGAGTAATGGTTCCTGCAAACGGTTCCTAGATTGTAAAAAAAACCGTCACGTGCATTTCCATTAGAGTGCGGCACGGGCCGCATATTTCCGTCCGAACCTGACTGAGCCCAGCATTATTTAATTACTAAAGCACTGAGTTTGTGTCACACAGTTGTTATGGTTACAGGCTATTTAACAGGCCGGGCGTGCGCCGTGGGTGCTCAGCGGAGAGGAAGACCTCTGTGTTTGAGACAGGAGCGGGCGGCGGGAGGTCCGAGGCTTCCAGCGAGAGCAGAGGGAGGGAGAAATATAACAAAATAAGATAAGAAATATAGGAAAGATAAGAAAAACCTGTCTCCCTCTTTTATTTAATTTTCAGCGTTTAATCAAGGCAGAGGCGGGCGGCGGGAGGTCCGAGGCTTCCAGCAAGGGGAGCAGTAGAAACAAACAGCCAATGTGTGTGTGTGTTCTGTTCAGGTGTTGTCACATAAATAACAGTGCCCAAGCATGAATGCATTTAAGTATTTTTCATTACATTGCTGTGGTTAATTTGAGGTAATAGTGTTACTGTAGAAATCAGAGAATCACTTTTTGTTGTTATATATTCTCAGGGAGATGATACAAGCTCTAAATCTGAAATACACACCACACACAAATGCGTATTTTCATCTAATTGTACTGTGCAACAGTTTTTGTATTTGTATGATTGCATTTGTGTTTATTATATACTTGTTTAAGTATAGCAAGTATAATGAATATAATGTAGGAATTGGTAAGAGGAATCGGTAAGGAATCGGACCGTTAAGGAATCGGAATTGTTAAAATCCTAACGAGTCCCANGATGATACAAGCTCTAAATCTGAAATACACACCACACACAAATGTGTATTTTCATCTAATTGTACTGTGCAACGGTTAGAATAAAGTTTTTGTATTTGTATGATTGCATTTGTGTTTATTATATACTTGTTTAAGTATAGTAAGTATAATGAATATAATGTAGGAATTGGTAAGAGGAATCGGTAAGGAATCGGACCGTTAAGGAATCGGAATTGTTAAAATCCTAACGAGTCCCAACCCTAGTTCCAATACAGAGTATGGGACTGATGTGTTGCACAGAGAGTTTATAGCTATTGCTAATTTTAAGCTGTTGGGCTTTTACACGTAGACCTAAAATGTTGTTAAAAATATACAGGTTAAAACATCATACAACCACAATACACTATAGACATGGAAGGCACAATAAAATAGATAAACCACAATCCACATACTACAGCACACATACTACAGTACATATACCACAATACAAACATCACAACATTTCCCACTATACATCCACTACAATAGACATACCACCATGCACATGCCACAACACACCAATACACTTACACTTACACTTATACCCCTTAGCAGTTTGAGTTAGCTCAGGTTTGCTTTTAGCCAGCATTTGACCTTAGTTGTGAAGGATTTTAAATCTGTAATCAGTTTCATTTCACTTGTGTTCCAGAGCTGACAGCCCTTTATGGAAGAAGCTGATTGTCCAAATTTAGATTTGCGATCTAGTGTCTACAGTTGCCATTCACGCTGCTCCTTGCTACTCTATTACTGTCTTGTCTTTGAATAAATGTGGAAAGAGGCTCTGGAGCTAGATTACTACCAGCTGCTCTGCCACGACCCTCTCGAGTACTTTTGACAGGACTGGAAGAATCGATATTGGGCGGTAGTTGGATATCGAATCACAATGACTGCCTTTTTTACAATTATTTGGGAATTTGCTGGTCCTAATTAATAGATTAGATGGGTCATAGTTCTTATCAATATAGAACTATTTATTAATGAAACACATGTCCAAATTATAAATATCTTTTGTCTTGGAATTTGATATTTCTTAATAACATCTGCAATTTTTGCTTCACTGATCCTTGCATACTCAACAAATCTGGTGATTCAAGGGTCAATTTCTCTACTGATTGTATAAAATATGTATTAAATGTGTGCGTCATGGTACCATTAGCAGTGATGGCTGTATCATTTATTTTCAGTTCTGTAATTCCTTTTTGACTGAGTGATTTATTGGTTAAATTGTTTAAATGTATCCAAAGAGATACATTATGATCTCTGGCATTTCCTGTAAATTGTTTATAGTATGAAGCTTTGGCTTTGCGTAATTCCAGGACTGCTTTATTTCTTAAATTTTTATAGATTAAATAATCAGTATTGAGTTTAGAAGATAATGATGTTTTCAAAGCCAGATCTTGTTTTTTCACAAGTTTTCATATTCTGTTATTCAGCCAAGGTAAGGTTGACTTCTTTTGTTTACATTTAATGTTTTTAGTAGATTTTGATAATAATTTAACCACAGAGGATGTCATGGAGTCACAACACACCAAATCATCATTTAAATCTATCAGATCTATCAAATCATCATGACAGTAAACGTCATTATGATCAGAAAAACCTGTTAATAAATATATGTTTTAGTTATTTGATCTGGTTTGTTGGTAAATATATCTATTAAGGTTTTATTATTCCTACTGATTCTTGTAGGTCCTTTAACCATCTGATGGAAGTTGAACTTTGGCATAATAATTTTCCTGAGTGAATTTTTTTCAAATTTGGCACAAACATCCACTTAAGCCCTTTTGCCACTGCAGAAAAACCCACTAACACCCGCTAACATCTGGCTTTTCAGTGCAATGGGAATGGTTTTAATCGGCATCCACACCTGGATCTACAGTAGTCACGGATAATCATCACCTCCGGCCATGGAAACATACCTGGATAAACTCTAATTTTAGCCCCTTAATTGGCGAGATGCAATGGCGTGCCACCACAAAACACTGTCTGTCTTCACCCAAGCAGCACTTGAACATCGATCCAAATTAGTCTGCACCGAGTTTAAAGAGAGACTGAGTAAGTATGAGTTAAACATTTTTCAACTCTCATTTTTAATTGGGAAATGGATAAATAATCACAGAAGTCATACAGTGTCAGATTTATCATTATGGATTTATTTTACTAAGTCACCAAAAAGACACTGCAGTTCAAGGCTGGATTATAAAGCTTCTGAAAGGGATACAGTCACACCAGAGCCCTTGTTGGAGCAGCAGGATGGCGAATGTTAGCTTCTTGACTAAAAGTAGTAACTCTCTCTCTCTCTCGCCTGCAATTTACAGAGATATTTGATATTAGCAACGTTATGTTGTAAATTACATAAATGTCAACCCCAAAAGTTAAGTGTCCAGTATGTCAGATTTTTCTCATCAGTCCTGTTCTTCAACACTTAGCGGTGCGACAGACTGGTGCAAGCAGATCAGGTGGAGAAGTGTTACATGTTGGACATTATTCCAGTGGAAATCACATGAGCAGTTCACTTGTTTGAGTTAATTTGCCCTGGTTAAGTGTTAACGTTAAAATCTGTGACAAGAAAAAAAAAAGCTTTGGTAGACACGGAACACCACCAGGTTGTGCACTGTGGCGATTTAGTTAATCTAAAAAAAATCCTGCAGATTTTTTCTCCCTACATCGACAAATCAGTTGGTCAATGTGTAGTAGGGCTGTCAATCTTCCCCCAAAATCAGATTCGAATTTCTAATGTTTTTTATGTTAAAAATTCGAATAATATTCAAATTTTTCCTTGGTATAGGCTATAGACTAGGCCTACCACCGCATTTTTATATTTTTTGTGTTATAATAATGTTATTTTAATATTTTGCATCACATGCAAAAGTGAGCATCTTCGGCTTGTCCGCGCAGCGGTAGACGTGTTGTTCCTCCTCACTTCAAGTCACTGTCATTAACTTTTAACCGGCAGTGCCGCAACATTGTAGGAATTTATGAAAGCCCTTGTGAACATTTCAATAGTTACACATTAGAACAATATTTATTTGCAATTACTCTTTTGAATGATCAAAGAGATGCGCCCTGTCACTGTCAGCGCAGGGCTGACAGGGCACCCTCCACTGAGAAGAGAGAGAGGAGAGGAGAGGAGATGGATTGTAGGTCTGTTTGTAAACGGGGCTTCTCTGACAGTCATGTATTTCCCCAAAAAACATCTTAATGCACGGTAGACCATAT